GGCTTGAGGTAGCCAGTGTTCCATGTTTACCTATAGCAGTAACATCGCTAGTTTGCTCCTAGATTAAACCATTGCAATCAATAAGAATCAACAAGTTAGTAAAAAAGTCATACTTATCAAGCCATCTTGGTGGAGAAATGTCACGGACAGATACTACTGTCAAAAGTCCGAAATTCACATTAGTTGAAGTTTCATAAGTACGAAAATTCATTGAGCAACATCAACATAAGTAATTGTGAAACAACAAATTTGAACAAGGTTAAAAAAAATAAATAAAAAGTGATAAGTGAAATCTAATAATAGAATAGTAGAATAGTGCAGTGCAGTTTTCATCTGTAAGGATTCCAGTAAAACATCCAAGGAAACTACGGATATCTTCGTGGCGTGACGGCGTTTCAACGAGGAAACTCCAGATCAGTGCGATTACATGCAGGTGGAATTACAGTGCAGCGCGGTTACATGCAGATTAAATAACCAGCAATAATTCTACGTTCATAAGTGTCGACACAATTAGCTAAACAAATTTGCAAATTTGAAAATAATGCGCTATAAAAATTTCTACATCAAAATTTCACTGCAATTGTGTATAATTAAGGCCAATTTCATTGTCAACCAATTTAACTACTTACAGTATAAAATACTATTAAGCACTGTAACAGTAGAATTTAGGGGGGAAATTTCATGTTTTATTGATCTAGTGTAAGAAGTAAAACGGTTGTCAATTGTAAAAACCTATAATCCATAAAATCATATTGTAATATATTGATATTTGTAACCTACAACATATCTTTCATTTAAGAAAAATTAGAGTAAGAAAATAATATAAAAATTCTAATCCAGATAAAAATAAATTAAAAAAGGAACCCACACGCTGAGTGAGTCTCATATCAACAACAACATAAAAATAAAGGCGCCCAAAATAAATCAAATAAAACAAAAAAATAACAGCATTAACTTAAAATTAAACAAAACATAATATTATATAAACTGTATTTTAAAAGCAAGTCATTTGTGAACTTTTATCAACAGAATACGCAACAAAATTTAGTTTGTTATGATAATTCCCAACAGATAATTATGACACAAATAAGTTATTTTTTTATAGATTTACTAGGGTGTTTTTCAGCTTCCCTCTAAAAACTGTAACAAGTGATCAAATCTCATGTTCGGATTATCAGTAAAGAGCAGTTCTAATCGGAAATGAATTTCTCTCATACAATTTTCCCACGCATTTGAATCCCCTAGATTTTAATTAACTGGAAGGAGCATATATAAATTTTACCTCCGCAGTATAAATACGACTGCGGTTAATTGGTAACTACCCTTTAATTAAGGATAAATCAACTAGGTTGTAATCCTAAACCCCAAACTTTGGCAAACGAGTTGAAGAATTACACGATTGGCAGAGAAATGCGGCCGTTTTGAAAACAACCATCAAAGCAAATTATTTCTTATACCATGTAACACTCTCGAATGGTTCGCTATTTATAAATAAATATAAACTTATAAATAAGCTGGATAAGAGGCTAAATATAATTATCTTTTTTTGTGTGGGCTATTAATATTTTACGAGATTTAGTTTCTTTATTCTGGAGCTTGGTAGAAAAAGGGTCAATGTTCATTGCAGTGGACATTGGTCGTTTGTCAAACGTTTTAAAAGTATTTCAAGGACCAAAGTCCATACATTGGCCCTTTTTCTATTAAACTAAGATGGACTTAGGCCATTTTAAAATTTAAATAATTAAGGCTTATAATACTTGTTGACATTGGCCCTTTTTGTGATACAAATATGTAAATCCAGGAGACTTATTGGCTGTTAAATGTAATTTTTGGACATTGGCTCTTTTTCTACCAAGCTCCAGAATTATCTTAATAAAATTCACAGTGTACAATTCGAGTGATAGCAAATTTTTGGTAGCAGAAGACTTAGCGATAGGTTTTGGTAAATACACTATGCACAGAAATTAAAGGATATTAAAAAAAATTACAAAATTTTGGGTGATTTTCAAAGAGTTTTAACTTGGAGGTAAATGTTCGTAGAGGGAATAAAAAAAGGAAATTGAAGCTTCAAGTCTAGTTTTCGGATCAATAGTTTTTGAGTAATCATAAGAAAATCAACGAAAAAAAAATTGCAAATTTTTGCTTTTCTTTAAAAAGGCGTATGGACTTCAAACATTTTTTTTGATAATTACACCATAAAGCTCTTTTAGATAATTTAATTCTCTTCAATTTGAGCGTTTCCAGAGCCCTGTACGATGATTTGTCGCTGAGCTATCGTCGATCAAAGCAAAAAAATCAGTTTGGATTATGGCAATCAATGACTCGGGAATTAATGGTCGTACAGAAAATCCAAGCAGGGTTTTGAGGGTTTTGAAAACTGCAAAGTATTCTCTTCAAGTTGTGATTATTGGTTTAAAAAAAATTTTTGAAGTGAAAATGTTCATTATGGTATGTTCAGGGTATGGGGAGACGTATCCATTAATACCAGAACTCAGTTGGTAATCATTCCCATCATTGATTGCTGAAAGGTACGTCACCGAAATCCTTGAACCACACGTCCTGCCATGCGTACAAGCATGGGGAATCATTTCATTCTCATACTCGTCTTCATACTGCAGAACGTACGAGAAATTTTCTTCACGCCAACAACGTGGTAACTCTCAACCACCCACCTATGAGTCCCGACTTGAACCCCATTGGGCATGTTTAGAACATTCTCGTGCGTAGATGACGCCGAGACTATCCGCTAATACAAAATCACCTTCAATTGACCTCTTCTACAAACTTGGCAAGGAATTACGCAACGAGACATCAGGCGGTGCATTAATATGCGAGACCGCTTAAAATCGGTGATCGGGAACAGGTAATTTGCGATATTAAATTGTGGTCTGCAACGTCTAATCAACCAACTTATTTTGACATTTGTGAAGCTTGTGGATACGTAAAAAAAATTTAAAAAATAATAATTTTTGAGGAAAATATTTTCATTATTTTTTAGAACAATGAACGTTTTTTGATGAGGAAAATATGGATTATTGCTAAAATAACATTTTTAACTTAAAAAAAAAATTGAAAAATTACTTATTACGTGGATTTTCAGCAAAAACGACAAATTTACACATTCCTGAAAGTAAAAAAAAATCGCAGCGTTTTGAAATTATCAGGGTTTCTTTAGGACAATTTGAGGTTGAAAAGTTAGTCAATTTTTTACGTTTTTTCTAACCAACATTTTCACTTAATTAAATTATTAAATTTTTATAAAATAGAATTAAATTATCTAAAAGAGCTTTATGGTGTAATTAAAAAAAAAAAAAAATTGAAGTCGATAGGCAAATAGATAAGCAACAATTTGCAATTTCTTTTTCGTTGATTTTCTTATGATTACTCAAAAACTATTGATGCTAAAAAATTTTAAACTCAAGATCGAAAAACTAGACACTTGAAGCTTCAATTTTCTTTTTTTTTATTCTCTCTACGACCATTTCTCTTCAAGTTACAGCTATTTGAAAATCACTCAAAATTTTGGGATTCTTTAAATATCCCTTAATTTCTGTGCCTAGTGTAGAAAAAGAGTCGCATGAAATAAGGATATGGACGATTCGTAGTGAGAAATATGCCAAGTAGCATGACGTTAGTGTGAAAAAACATCTGAGGTAATAACAATAATACATTATATTTAATAGATATTCACACCTAATTTTGATTTGAGCAACATGATTATAACATTTCCATTTAGATCAAATAAAACAAAACTATATATTTATTAAGAACTTTTAAGAGCTGAAGCAAAGCTTGTTAAGCTCTAAAACAAAAAAAAATACTTATCCTATACATTAACACAAACAAAAATTATATAAAAAAAATATATATATGATAAAAATAATATATTGTAGGTTTTAATTATACCGCGAGAATAAGTAAAAAACAAATTTTCACTGCTTTTGCTTTGGCGAAGATCTAGTAGCCAGAAACTAGCCACACTAAAAGAAATAATATCATAACAACTTAAGTAACATCAGTAATAGAAGAACAAAATATTCAACCCACGACCAATAATAACTAACGATAACCAATAATAAATAAAAAAATAAATAAACCATTAGTTCGTTAGTTCTAACAATCATACCAAGTCCCTAAATTGCAAAATTATTATGCAAAATCTATCGAACCGATTTTGATGAAATTTGGTGTGATGATTCTACATAACATGAAGTTTTCTTGAGCCAAGTATAAAGGTCCTACACCCAATTTAAATACACCAAAAAAAGTATTGTTTTTTAGCCCCATTTTTGTGATTTTTTCGATTTTTACCATAATAATCTTGATTCATTCGATTTGTAACCAGTCATGTATTGTAAAAAATTTAATTACAAACATTTTTTTCCTCTTCCATTTTCGCCTAAAATCAACTCTTAAAAAGATACATAATTAAATAGGAAGAAAAATATGACATTTTTCCAATTTTTTTAACATATTGTGCCGCCAAAAGTTAAGCCCACGTTTTTTTTTATGCGCATAGAAAAATTTTCATTACTAGTGATAGTTGAAAGCCAAAAAGCCAAAAATCTCCGTGGATATACGATTCACCCAAACCAAAACAGATACCGCCTGGTCTAGTGTTCATTTTTTTCAAAAACGGTACAAGATAATTTCATCTGATCGTAAACTTAAGCTTGGAAATGAACATTACTACTTTACTTTAATTGCCCAATTTTCACTGTTGTCATGTTAACAACTTAGAAGTTATAATTGAAATTTGTTTTTCAAACTTCGTTCTTTGAAGGCTAATAACTCCAATCGGAAAAAAAAATTATGAAGTACTACAACTATTTTGACCTCCCCTTCATTTTTTACATGATCTTTCCGGACACCCTGTATATTAAATTCTATTTGTAATAATGTATTTTGCAGCTGACGCCTTATTTTATGGCAATGCGTTGAACATTTCATTGTTGACACCCTGTTTAATAGAAGGTTTAACGATGATTTGTTCTTTTCAGCTTATGGAAATCTGGGCAGCGTTCTCAGCAGTCAAGGGCGAGTCGCAGAGGCGGAATGGGCCTTCAGAAAGGCCCTTCAGTTCAGACCCAACATGGCCGACGTGCATTATAATCTGTAAGTAACCTATTGTTGTTTAGCAACGCTAATTTCCTTATAATTGCGTTTGCGGCTCCATTTCCTCCGCTGAGATTAATGAAGACAATTAAAAATATATTACGACCCCTTCGCCATTTGTGTGGGCCTTACAAACCCTTCATTATTAATTAAAATATAATTTATAAAACGATGTTTTCATCACAAGCCCAATTATTTGCTCTAGGCAGAAGCAGAAAGCGTAAATGATGGAAAAATTACGTCTAAAATCTAAAAATCACTAATAATTTCTCTTTTTCAATAAAAGTGATGTCATATATTTCGCATGCGCATGGTGATCAGATAAGTGATATTATAAGTTTTCTTTAAAATATAATAATGAAGGTTATTTTAAACGCCTTCACCTTCACCTCTAAAAATTATATTTACTCTTTTGGTTTTCATGATAACAATAATTTTTATATCGCTTACAATACTTAGAAAGTCGGTATGACAGTGACACTTTGTAAAGATTTACACCGACGTGATCCATAAAAAAATTTCAGGCATTTCGAAAAACTAAATTTGATTACGTTTTTGCTTTATTTTAGTTGATTTGAGTTTTCCAACATTCAATCGTCTTTTACTCGAACACTTTCGTATGTAAGATGGCAACATTTTAATACTGCTGGATCGACAATGAAACGATCTTTCAGAATCAAGAAAAAAAATAGGGGGTTGCTATTTAATAGAAATGTCGATGACGTTATTACTCGAAGACAAATGACGGTTGAAAATCGCCTTTTATGCTAAAATATGTATTTTTTAAATTAAAAATCGACCTGTTTTTTACCCCAAAAAAAAATGGTTTCGTTTTTACTGAATTTATTCCATACTTTAGGCGTTTACGGTATAAAGCCTACAAAGTTTATAAGAGACTATCGGTTTACTGTTAGAGGTAAACAGATACGTATATCATATTTATTTCAATGATTAAACACACTCTATTTGTTGATTTGATTCAATAAATATTCTATATCAGGTAATCACACCTAGTTACCACTCATGTATTTTAGTCTTCTTTCCCTAATAAAAAATATAAACACTTCACAAATGTGTCAAAACAAATTTTTCTTGCATGGAAAAAAATGTAATTTTGGAAATTATGAAATATTTATTGAGAAAATTAATGACATAATTTATTTTTAAATTCAAATTGCAAATTTTCCTAATTACGACCCCAATTAACAAATTCAATAAGTCGGGATAAGAACAAGTAGGTAAGCAAAGTCAAAAGGTAAAATAAAATTATGAATGTCCCAAAAGAAAAAGGATTTCATATGAGGAAAAAAGATTTTATTAAATAAAAATTTGGCAAATTTTTACATGTTTTTAAAGGGTAGATTAAATATGGAAGAGGATATCGGACCAATCATTTGCCATTCTCGATTTCTTCTAAGAAAATTCTGTGTCACATACCTTTTTCGAACCTCCCCCTGAATTTCATTCATAATTCTCCGAATTCCTGCCTTTAATTCAGGAATTTGAGCAGGATAAACTTTGGACTTTAGGAATCCCCACAGAAGAAAGTCGCATGGCATAAGATCGCATGGTCTTGGTGGCCAAGTCACTTCACTGTTACGTGAGATGAGTCATCCATTAAATTTCTGCCGTAACAAATGAATAGTTTCACGTACTATATGGCAGATGGTACCATCCTGTCAGAACCACTTGTTATACAAATTCATGCCATCCAAATGAGGCCACATTTAATAGCATCTCTCGATATCGTTCTCCATTGGTAAGCACTGCGCTTCCAGTATCATTATCAAGAAAGAGGCGAAAAATCATCCCACTAACGTAAAATCCACACCACACTGTCCCTCTTTTGATAAACAGTGGTAGTTCTTGAATGACCGGAGGATTGTCTCTGCCCCAAATTCGACAGTTTTTTTGTTCACATACCTACTAATCGCTAAAGATGGTTTTCTTAGCAAAATCATCATTCACTTGTAGGTTCTCCAGCATCCAATCAACGAATGGCGCATTAAATGGTTGTCTGGTTTCAATTCCTGGGTTGGCTGAATCTTGAATGCATGCAGTTGCAGATCTTTTGTTAAAATCCGCTGCATTATGTTTTTTGAAATTTTTAATTGCAGTGACCGACGGCACACTAAGGTTGCGAAAATTTCCGACACTCACCGTAACAATATTTTCAGCTGAACGGCCGGTGCGAGGCCGGACTGTTTATTATTGTCTGCAGCCGAACCTGTTTGTTAAAATTTGGCAACTAATCTTTTCGCAGTTGTTTCATTCTACCAAACATTTTGCGTAATTTGCGCACAGTCTCAGCTACACACTCTTCGTACACATTCACAATATTCTCTCGCTCATCCATCGTAAAGCGCTCCATTTTGTCTAACCACAAGGTGCATTTACTTTAACATGTGATCCTACACAATAGTGCCAACTCATCCGAATTGGAATATATAAATAATATGCATACATATTTTTGTTCCATAATCTTGTAGGAAAGATTATAGTAAAAATAAATTAAGAAGTTCTATTCTTTAAAGTACCAATTTGTATATGTGTCGAGTTCATCAGTAAGAACTCGACACTCTTATAGAAATACACTACTTTCAAAATAATACTCCCATCATCTTCATAAACGATAAAGCATAGAACGGAAAAATGTATACACTTTATATGTATGTTCACCAATCCTCTAAATTCTGTAAATAATTCTTGAAGGTAAAGCTACTTAAAAAAATTAAACAATATTGTGCCTCAAAAACTAATGTCTATTAAAGATTTATATATTTGTATAGATTAACAGTTTTATTAAAGAAGTTAAACTAAAAAGGTTTCTTATGATAAAAGTAATATTAGATTACAAAATAACTAAAATTGCAAATATTTTAAAAGATTTTTATTGACATATATTTTCCATAATAATTCTAACAGCAATTTACAACCGTCACAATAACACTGACCAGCACCACTAGTGACTGTATTGACTGTTCCTATCCCTGCCACCCAAAATCTACCAATTATATAGACAGAATAAACAATCTATTGTGTAAGTCAGAATAAATTTGAATAATCGTTCAGGATAATACAGAAAAGGGCGATTAATTATTAAGTGGATGTAGATATCGATTTTTGGAAGGACCATTAATAGATTATATTTTTCCAATAAGTTCTGTTTTGTTTGCATGAGTGCATATTACTACTACTAGATACCAATTTTTATAAATTTCCCCATGAATTTTTAGTTTAATTTAGAAATTGCAATGTTGTAATTATCACCAATTGCACTATTAAAGTGCAAAATTATATCATAGAATATGCTAATTTTCGGGCAATATTTGGAGAGACAAAAGAATAACACTGATTTTGACTGACCTTCTGACGCAGAAACCAGAATGTACTTTTCCGAAGGATTTTGGTGCGCTGAATTCGAATCCGAGGTCCAAACATATCAATTGGCTCTGGTTTTCGAGATATTCTAACCTAAAAAATCGAGATTTTTTTACATATTGAGGTAATGTGACATGGATAGGTATATTTTATTGCTTTTGCCATTAATGGGTCGTAAAGTACTATACTTACTCTTTAAAACACACTTGAATTTCCCCTATATAATTTTTTGTCTTTGAGAAATCACACGTTGAAATTTAATAGTTTGACTAATTTCTTGATTTTTAATATACTGATAACACAACACCACAAACCTAAATTCATCAGCATCTGGAAGTAGGGATCTTTCATGTTTTTGAGGTCGCTGATCATGAATCTGAATTCTAAAATACTGTATCCTGTCAAATTTTGAAATGAATTTTAAAAAAATTTTTAAAAATTATTTTACGCATCTGGAAATACTTTACACGTAAAAGAGACTAACACGCTCAATCCCGAACTCATAAAACCTATCTACCGATACCCTAAGCCCATAAACCCATAGAGTTTGTGGTACTGTGTTGTGAGTATATTAAAAAATCAAGAAATAAGTTAAACTACTAAATTTCAACATGTGATTTCTCAAAGACGAAAAATGACGTCAGGAAAAATCCAAGTGCGTTTTAAAGAGTAAGTATTCGCTGTGAGCAAGTGGGTAGAGGGGATAGTCAAACATTTGCGAGCGCTAGTAGCGTCAACTTAGTGAACTTAGGTCGGAAATTTAAAAATCTTCTGCATAAGGATATTTTTAAATGGGACACACAAGTTGTTGTATCAAAGATTATAAAATTACAATTACGGTTACAATAGTGACTGTGTATTTTACAAATTCCCTAAAGCTACTCATAAACTGGGTCAACGACAAAAATGGATTGATGCAATTAGAAAAAAGTAAGTAAATATAACCTTCAATTTTAAAATAGACATTGATTGAAAATGTAAGTTGTGATATGTGGATCAAAATTAATGTTTAAAATCTATCTAAATAATAATTAAAATTTTATGTTGTTGTAGGTAGAGCATTTAATCATGGGCCAGGATGGTTACCTAAAAAAAGTCATGTAATTTGTAGTAGTCATTTGATCACAGTTTGATTGAAATACTCATTTTTCCAAAACTAGAAAAATAAATAAATAAATAAAAAACATTGCTATTTAGACCATATTTTTAATCATTTCTTTATTTATTGCAAGTATAATTAAATTTTGGAGGGAAAATTCTCCTATTCTAATAATCGCAGTCAACATAATCACAAAATGAAGTGCAAAATCTTAAAAATAATAATTATAACGAATAAAATTGTTTACTTACTGATATTATTCATAGATTACGATCTAATAACTTCTTTGTTACGTTAATTAAATAAGAAGTATTAACTATCATTTGTATTTGACATATACACTTTCAGTCACTATGTTACTTTAAATTTCCGACAGAAGTTGTAGCTATAAAACCGGTAGGTGGCGATACCAGCGAATTTATTATCTCTTTACGATCTCATTAATGGTTTTAGCAATAAAATGATATAACCTCAAATATGTCAAAAAATCGCAATTTTGGCACTTTTAGGTTAGGGTCTCTCTA